GAGAAAGTGGCAAAGCACTCTCTGTGAAGGTTGGTCACACTGTAACCCCTTCTCCACTTCTCCTTTTGGGATTTTGGGCATGCATCACACGCACCTGGCTTGTCTTTCAAACCGCTGGGTCTGGGTCTTGAATGGCGCAGTGAGCCATGTGTGATCCAACTGACTTAGGTATCCTGCCACCAGTTGGCCTATTAATCCCTTCCCTCATTTCTTCCCAATCAAATAATTTTAGCAGCTAGGAAAAATGTGTTTCCTCGAGAAATCACATAACTGAGGATTCTAAAGCAGTTATGTTGTTTTTGTGTAATCTCAAGAGTGTGCAGCCTGCCTGTGGCTCCTGCTCCTGCCCAGAGAATGTGTGGATGTGTTGGCTCTGGAGCAGCCATTTCCTCTGGTCTCAGAGAACCTTTGATTCTTAGACTTCCATGTTCTCTGCAGTCAAGAGATAGCTGACTGCCAGATTAATGGGACACATTTCTTCTACTGTAAATTTTCTCAGACTAAGAGAATGAGTGAGGCGGCTGAATCTGAATGAAGTGAATGATAAATGATCTCAAACATAATCCAGGCTGATCATCATTGTGCACTGGCTTCCTAGAAAATCAGCCAGTGAGAGCCAGAGTATCATAGAAACAGATCAGGCAGCATGATGCCGTGGGCCCCTTTCCTGACAGACTTGGGGTCACCATGCTGCAGCATTCAGGCTGGAGGTGAGAGCCACCAGGCAGGTGCTAGGAAGGCCCAGCCCTGGGTCAGAGGTGCTTGTGCATAGCATCTCTGGCCCCCCAGGCCATGCAGGGATAGATGCATTCAGAGATGAGGAAGCCAGGGCTTCGAGAATCAGTGTCTCTTGTTTAAGTAGACAGGCTTGGCAAAGGTACAGGTGAAATCTGAACTTACCCATGTCTGCCCCCTGGCCTGACGCCTCCATCGTTCACACTATAACTACACTTTGTGCTTCTCTTTGTGCTAATGAACAAACCTTTCCTTTCAGAAAGACGGCTCCAAATTAGCTGCTAAAATTTACAACAGCCTTTTTTTGAAAAATAGTATTTAAAGGGTATTTACTTTTAAGTATTTAAAAACAGGTTGATAGAGTTTAGAATCTTTATTATTTATTCAATTTTATTTATTATTATTGTTATTATTTTCAAATTTGCTATAAGGCATATGTGCTCATAAGACAGAGATGAGAGGGACAGAAAGAGAGAAAGTGAGAAAGCAAGCTGCCAGGTTTGAGATTCAAACCATGGCCAGCCCTGTGAGAATGAAGTTCCTCAACCACTGCACCACCTGCTGGCCCCAAACTTGAGAATCTGAATTACCACTTTGTTGAAAGCTTCTGCTTTTCTCAAAAGGAATTGTGTTAATAGATTTATTATCTATCTAGAGCTGCTATAACAAAGCCCCACAAACCAGATGGCTGGAGTGACAGAAACGTATTATCTCTGGAGGCCAGATGTTCACAATTTAGGTGCCGATAGGGTTGGCTCCTTCCTCAGGCGTGTGAGGAAGAAACTCCTCTCTGCCTTTCTCCCAGCTCCTGCTGATACTCTGGCCATTTTCGGCATCTGTGCTCTTGTAGGCGCGTCCCTGTGCTCTCTGCTTCCGTCTTCCCCCGGTGCCTTCCTTGTGTCTGTCTCTGCACGAGGCACGCTTTCTGCAGACTCCAGCCACACTGACTGACTCGTTTCACCACCGTGAGCTGCACGTCTCGTGTTACTCTTATCATGGGAGAATTCCTTCCCTACGGGGTTCTCTGAGGCCTTCGATGAAGCTGTTTCTCTTTCTCTTCCTTGCTGCAGCACACGCACAATTATTGCCAATAAGGCGGAAGCCCTGCCTGTGTCACGAGAACCTTGAGGGAAGAAAGGTCAAAAAATACCACAATACTCAAATGCAATGTCTTTGTGTATCAGCGCTTCTAAACTCAGGTGTGATTTTTTAGCTTGAAGGACACTTGGGACAATTTCGAACACTATGTAACTAACTAAATAAATTAATTAATATCTCTGGAATAAGTACCGGAGCACAGTCCCTAACTTGTCATCGAGTCTCAATCAATATGAGATATTTTGCCTTCTGTCTCCAAGATGAAACAGGTTTTATTTCTCATAGCGTTCTAGAATTTGAAGATCTCGTTAAATTGGTTTAAAATTTGTTTAAACTAGGTATAGGAATAGATATTAACCTAATTAATTAATTAATTAATTAAATACACCCCAGATACAGGTAAGATACTACCATTTTACTTCCCAATTTCCCAATTTCTATCAAATTCCAGTGGGGAGAAATTATATTTACCTAGAATTTTCCAGATTGTTACATATACTTATGTATGATGCATTTATACGTAAATGTATTTATATTTATATATAGATTTATCATATACATCTTTACAATAAATTTTGTTTATTCAGAATTTTCTGAATTGATTATATTCTAAACATAGCTTAAATTAAGTATGTAGACTACAATTACTTATCACCTTAAAGAACAGGAATTATGAACTGGATTTTATTATATGGCCTTTTGCTGCTATAACAAATGAACATAAACATAGCACCTTAAACAGTACATGTTGAGGCTAGCAGGTGGTGTGGTGGTTAAGGCACTAGACTCCCACACGACTAACTGTAGTTCGAGTCTTGGACATGGTGGCTTAAAAATCATACTGGATGCATGTGTGTGTACCCAAAATGGCAAAAGGAGAATGGAGGAGAGGGGATTGTGACATGGCCGTTCCTTTTGGAGGGTGATTTCTCACTTTTCCTCCTTCTGTCTCTCTCTTTTGAGCACACAAGCTCTATGGCAAAAACTAAAAACAAAACAACAACAAAATACAAGTTTATAATCTTAACAGTTGGAGGTCAAAAATCTGAAATGATTTTGAATTAGACAACTAAGTCTGGCTGCTTCTACTCAGTCAATGAAATGAGAAACATCGGCTGGTGAAGAAACTTTATAACCAGTTACAGGGAGACAGCAAGCCCCACCAATGTCTCAAAAAGCTCAGCATGTGCTCAGTGTTTACAAGATCCAAGCATGTGCACCTCATTCCTCACTACATCAGTCACAGTCAATTGCTTTCCTTTGAGCAATTATCCTGATTCCTGTTTTCCCTTAAATACCCACTCCTGGTTTCTTACTTGACTATTCCTCAAACAGCCCTCCCTGTGACTCGACACTTGGTCAGGTTGTTCTCATCAGAGGCCTTTCTTAATTTCAAAATGGCTGCTGTCCTGCTTAACCTCAAGCTGGCCTGCTTCAGTGTCACCAGGCTAAAATTACCAAGGCATGGGCAGGGCTATTCCTTCTGGGGCTCTTAGGGAAGAAGTCCACTCCTTGCCCTTTTCAGCACCTGGGGGCACCTGCGTATCTGGGCTAGTAGTCTCTACCTCCATCTTCAAAGCCAGCAGCTAAGCATCTTCCCATCTCTCCCTAAATTTGATGCCGACACAATTGCCTTCCTCATTCACTTATAAATATGCCCCTTATAAAGATCTCCCTGATCATCCAAGATCCTTAATCTAATCACATCAGCAAAGTCTCTTTTTGCCATACAAGGTGACATTTGTGGAGATTAAAACATGGACATTATTGGGAAACCAGTATCTGCCTACCGTACCTTTCTAAATGCCTTTCTTTTTGGAACGAATCTGGGTATATAAACCAGTGTCTCTATACTGGTAAATCTGACATTTCAGATTCTATTTGATGTCTTTATTTCAGTATTTTAATTTTGAAAATCGTAAACATATTAGTAAACAGTGACTATAACAATTAGTATATACTCAATGTGTCTCTTCAAAAGTGGAACATGGGTTTGTTTGCATTAAATCTCAATTACGTGTAATATTCAAGGCCCTTTTTTGTAAAGAGCATTTGTGAAGTGTCATTATTGTGTTTTATAGCTATGATTTGGCTTAAGCCTTAAAAGCCTTGGTGTAATGAAGTTATAAAGTTAATTTAAAATATTTGAGAGCTTGTTATTGTTATTTGTTTTGACTACATCCTACTTATTACCAGTAAAAATACATTATAAGCTGTGTTAATTGTATGGAATAAACATTGATCATTGATTTAGATCAATGTTTCTGATATTTTCCATTCATGACTTTTTTTTTTTTTTTTTTTGGAGAGGTTTTTGCGATAGGGCGTGTGCGCTCGCCAGACACAGAGAGAGAGAGACATAGAGACAGAAAGCGAGAAAGCACCCCCCAGGGGGAATGGTCACGCGGCAATCCCTTCTCCTCCATTCTCTTCTCGGGATCTTGGGCATGCACGCACACGCGCCCGGCATGAGTTTTAAGCCACCAGGTCCGGGACGTGAACCGCGGTCGACTACGTGGGAGTCCAGCGACATAGCCATTACGATAACTGCTGGTTCCCTCCATTCATAACTTTGTTATAATTCTCTATCGTTATGACACATTATTACTTCTAAGTTTAAAACATCCCCATCAAGGGGCCAGAAGGTGGTGTGGTGGTTAAGGTGCTGGACTCTCACATGGTAGATCATAGTTCAAATCCCAGACCCAGCAGCTTGAAACTCATGCCAGACATATGTGTGTGCATGCCCAAAATCCCAGGAGGTGAATGGAAGAGAAAGGACTATGGCATGGCCATCACCCTGGGAGTGATTTTTCACTTTTTCTCTTAAAATCTTTGCCTCTCTTCAGTGAGTGCACATGTCCTTTGGCAAAAAGCAAAACAAAACAAATCCTAATCAAAATCAACTTGGGATTGATTCACACTACTACTTTTGAATAATTGTACAATGTTTGTTGTTTTTTATTTAAGTGGTTGGATGGTAAAGAAATAGAGCGTTCAGAAAGGATTCAGGCATTGCAGAACTATCCGGTAGTTGAACAAGAAGTCAGAGAGCAGGAGAAAGCTTATTGCCTCCAACGAGCCAAAGACAAAGACGAGGCTCAGAGGAAACTTCAAGAAGAGTATGAAAATGAAGAAAAGAAGAAAAGAAGTAACCCAGGCTTTGATGGACGTTGGTACACAGACATCGATGCCACTCTGTATGTAAACTATCAGAGTTTACTTTTGTTAGAAACCATAGGCTATGTTCTCTTCCCAAGGTATTCACAGTCTTCCTTATATTCCAGAAGACTGATTTTAAGAATACAATGCGATGTGAATTTTAGGGGAGGCATATAAGCATTCTTTTGTTTGAGGCAATTTTGTATTCTTTCCCTGAGAAAAAAAATGCCTCTCCAAGCTAACAGTTTCATTTGCATCTAAAATTATGCTCAGAGAAATCTCCATCAAAGATGTACAAGAAAGGTGAATGAACAGGTGTACCTTGATTTATAAGGCAGGAATACTTGAGGAAAGTTAAATGCAAATCACAGTATTATAAATTGAATAATTCTGATTGCATCGTAAAAACGTTCTATTTTGTGAATTATATAATGAATAGATTTTTAATGTGATTAATAACCCTTTAATTGGTCTTTTTTACAAATCTAAATTTTATGCTGTTTGTCTTAAGTTAATTGCAATGAGAGTTGATTTGATTCTATACCATGAAAGCTTTAAATATTTATACAACAGAATCTCTTAAAACTGAAAAAATAATTACAAAATATTCAGACACACATGAATGTTAAAAAATAATTGAATAGCTGTAGTGCACAATCAGATTTAATGTATGATAATATTTTGTACATTTGCTTTGGATCTTTTATAAAATAAAAAAAAAAGAAAGAGTAGAAAGTCCCAAAGTACTTCACCATCCCTTTCCTCCTTTAGTCTCTGTCCCAAAGCTAATACCTGTTTGGTTTCTATGGAGCCCATCCATATTTTCAGCACCTTTATTACATAATGATGCCTCCTTAAACAAGAGTAATTTGTGTGTGTGTGTGTGTATATTTGTGTGGGGGGGGTGGGTATACTCGTGTTTAGCATGAATGATATTTCTACTAATTTTTTTCATTCAGCATTCTATTTTTGAGAGTTACACATATAAAAACATGCAAAATAAATGTATTCATTTTAACTATGGAGTAACATTTCATTGGATAAATAAACTACAGTTTATCCCAGAGGTGATATTCAAAATATTGAAAAGCCAGTGACTCATCAGTCCTGGCCAATGAGAATGCATCCGAGCTTGGACAGCTGTGCCCTGCCCCCTCCCCAGACAGCAGATTCTAGCTGACTAGCCATGGTGTGGCCCTCTCTCTTAGGAAAGCCATTAACGTGGTTTCCCTGTTTGGTTTTCTCAGATTATGTGGCACATGTCTCCATGTGCAGGCATGACAGTTTCTTTAGGGTATTAACCAGTGACATCGCTGCATTGTCAATTATGACATCTTGCCCACTTCAGATAAGGAAACTTCAAAATGTTCATGGGAAGATGGAATTAAAATGCGAGCTTATTTTGAAAAGTTTTGAAATCCGTGCATAGTTTTTCATAACTACACATGTTTTATACACGTTTTGAAGACTCCTTGTATATATTGCCATATTGCTTTCTAAAGTGGTTGTTTGTATTTATGCCCCTAAAACAATGATGTAGGAGTTTTCCTGATCCTTGACAATACCTGATAACACGTGGTATTTAAAAACATTGGTCGACCAAGTTCATTGTTAAATAGCACCTAAGTTTTTCTTCAATTAGCACTTCTGTAACTACTACTGAGTTTGACAGTCTTAAATATCTTCAAATATGTTTATGGGCTGTTTATATTTCTCCAACTCAGAGCCTCTGCAACTTCAGGTTGAAGTTGCAACTTCTTTTCTTACTGATTTATAGTTCTTTTATATTTTGGGTGCAAATTCTTTGGAGACTATGTGCTTTGCAAATGTCTTCTAGTCTGTGGCTTGTCTTTAATTGTAAGTGCTCCTGTTTTATAGATTCAAAAATTTAACCTTATTTTGTTAAGATTATTTTTGTACATTTTTGTGTTGTTTATGAAATTTGTCCTTACCTTAGCATCCTGTCTATTTATGTGGAGTTAACTTAAGTGTAGACTAAGGTACTAATTGTTTATATAGTTAGTTGTCTCTGTACCAATTTATTATGGTGTTATTGTTTATCCTGAATTGAAATGCCACCCTTACCGTATACCCATATACTTTTTATTTTCCTTTTTTTGCTATAGGGTTCGTGTAGTCACCAGAGAGAGAAACAGTGAGAGGGAAAGTAAAAAATCACCCCCCCCATGGGGACAACCACACCACAATCTTTCCCCCTTCGTTCTCCTTTCAGGATTTTGGACACACACATACATGCACCCAGTGTGGTTTTCAAGCCACTGGCTCCAGGACTTAAATCGTGGTCAGCCATGTAGGAGTGAAGCACCTGACCCACCACTCCACCTACCGAAATCCCCCACCACAAACCTTTTAATCATATGTCCATGGGTCCATTTCTAGTTTCCCTAGAATGGAGTGCCTCCACTTGTTTTTTAATTTCTATAGATTTATGATATTCTTGATATTTGGTAGGAGATATTCTCATTTTTTGAAAATTATCCTGGCTATTCTTAGTTCTTTACTTTTCTGTAAGACTTCTAGAATCTGCTAATCAAATTCCCTAAAAATCCCTAATCAAATTTTGATTGAAAATGTATTTAATTTATATGTTAATTGAGGAGAAAGTTGACACCTTCATGACATTTATTCTTGCCTTGCCAAACTTTGGACTAGCTCTTTTTATTTACTTAGATCTTTTTTTGAAGTCCTTTAATAAGATTTTTAATTTCCCCTATAAAGGTCTTATACCATTTTTTTTATTGAATTTCTTTCTACATGTCTTGTAGAATGGGATTTTAAAAATAGACACATAATTGGTTCTAGCTGATGTTTAAAAGGTGAATGATTTCTTTATTCTGATGGTGTATTAAGCAATCTTGCTGACCTTTTAAAAGATGTAATAGTGGGACAAGCCGATAGCATAGAGCTTATGTCACTGGACTCCCACATGGCCAACCACAGTTCAAGTCTTAGACACGCTGTCTTGAGAGTCATGCTGGGTGCATGTACACGCATGTCCAAGATCCCAAGAAAAGAATGGAAGAGAAGGGATTGCAACATGGCCATCCTCCCTGGGGGTTATTTCTCACTTTCCCTTTCGCTGTCTCTGTTTCTTGCTCTCCAGTGAGTACATGTGCCCTAAGGCAAAAACCTCTTGAAAAAAATTTGCAAAAATTGGTAGGTTATCCTATGTTTTTCTATGTAGAAAAGCACATTGTGAAAAGCAACCTAAATTTTTTCCCAGTCCTTCTGCTTTCTATCTATTTATTTATTTATTTATTTAATGATGCCTGAGAAGGTCTCCAGTATGGGGTGGGATAGCAGTAATAAGAACAGATATCTGTATATTGTCCCTGATTTCTAAAAAGAATGTTTTCAATTCCTCATCATTCTATATAATGTCTGCTAGAGGGTTTGCTAAGGTTGCACAAGTTTCCTTTTATTCCTGGTTGCTGAAGAACATTTATCATCACAGATAACAGATTTTTTTTTCTTTAAATGCTTTCCTTGCATCTATTGAGGCCATCATGTGTCCCTGTTAATACATTCTCACTAATAAACTTTCTCATATTAAACCATCCTTGAATTTCTAGACCCTCACTTCACCCATGATATATTTATTAATGCATCACTGCATTCATTTTGCTAATATTCTATTTATAATATTCAAATCTAAGTTCATAAGTGAGTTTTTTACTGTAGTATTTTTTCTCACATTTTTTCCCAGTGTTTTGCTTCAAGGTTATAAAAGATACATGAAAGGTCCATTTATAAAGTTTTGAATCATTTGTTCCTCACATGTAGGGAGAAGTGTACCATTGAGTTTCTCAAGGTGCTTTTTGCTTTGCCTGCAAGGCTGGTGGTCCATTGGTCATCCACTATCATCCCATTTAGCCTGTATGAACAGAAACTTGACATTCTGGGGGAAAGTCGTTGAAATAGAGTCATTGACTTAGTTGGGGAGGAACGAGGGGGTACGTCCTATTTGGAGGCAGTAAGAGGAAACACCACAGAGTCAAGGTGATATAAATCCTAGGTTCTCCCCACCTCAAAGCTACTGAATAGAAGGTAGCAACTCAGGAATCTGTGTTTTTTAATAAAGCTCCCAGGTGATTCACAGTCAGGCCCGTGAACCTTGCATGTGATTACTGCAGTATTCCTGATGACAGAGGATGAGGGCCTGACTTGGTGCTGTTGTAGCCATTTCTCCAATTTGCTTGGATAGACTCTTTTTCAAAGACATTTTGTCATTCAAAGGTAAGATGGCAATATAAGGAAAGTATATAAGACATTTCAAGGGCGGCATTAACGGTGAAACTCAGACCTCCATTACTGGACTTGGGTGCACTCTGTCTATTTTTCTTTTCTTTTTTTTTTTTTCCTAGCCCATCTTCTTTAAAGAGCAAAGATCACCTCCAAGGGCCAGAAATACAAGAAGAAGAACACAGCAAAGAGAAATTAGGTGGAAGTGATGATGACCTGGAATTCTGGAATAAACCCTCTTTGTTTACTCCTGAATCTAGATTGGAAACTCTTAGGCATATGGAAAAACAACGGAAAAAACAAGAAAAATTAAGGTATCCCCTTTAGTTCTATTATTAAGAGAGAGGCAACTTTCTCTTATGGGCTATACTAAGAGACTTCAAAAAGTTCATGGGAAAATGGACTTTGTGAGTTTATTTTGATGTAAAAAATTTTGATGCAAAGCTTTCTAAATAATTAAAAAATAATTCCATACATTCACACACACACATACATATGTACATGTATATAGTCTGTGTATATATGTATTCTATCATATAGAATCTATATTGTATTAAGTCTAAAGTTATAGGAGTATTTTTGCTTCATAATACCTGAAAAAGTCAGGCTGGATTGGGGGAGGTCTGGGTAGCTATCGGATGTGCTCTACTCTGCCCAGTGCAGTGGGCCCCTGAGATTCTTACCTCTGTAATTATGTAGTCCTTTTCCTAAACTGGGAGAAAGCAAGGACAAGAGTCAGCTTTTGTTCCTGACTGCTCTTATCTAGGGTGGATCAGGTCCCTCTGGATGTCCCCTGATTGTCCTGGGTCACTAAAATATTGACTTAATTGGATCTGGAGGCCCAGTTTAAGATGCAGGAGAATGTGAGTTTTTAAAAATAAAATTAAACAACACTATATATATATACATATATATATATGTGTATATATGTATATATATATATATATATATACACTAAAAAGACAGTAGAAATTCAAAGACTTGCCTATAATTCCATCATTTAAACAGGTTAGCCCATCTGATATTTTAGGACTCACTCTTGGGTCCACCTGCCTTAGCCTCCTGGGTAGCTGGGACCACATATGCGCAGCCAGAGCGCCCAACCTTCAGGTTGGCCTAGGAATTGACGTGGTCCTCCTGCGTGGTCCCCGCCTGCACACCATGATGTCTGAGCAGCACACACAGCTGTGACTGGGACTTAGTAAAATTTTAAAACAGGACATTTTGTTTTCCATCACCAGAAGATGTATTTACTTTCCAGAGAGAGAGAAAAATGATCCCTCGATGGGGTACGGTCACACTGCAGTCCTTTTTCCTACACCTCCCTCTCATCAGGATCCTAAGTACACACACTTGACATATTTTCCAAGCTGCCAGGGTCAGGATTGGAACTGCTATTGACACTGTGGGATCAGGCTTCTGATACACAGGGTTTAACCACTATACCAGGGGGCTAGCCCTAAAATAGATCATTTTACTGCATTTTTATTTTATGTTATTTCTTTATTCTCTTCACTGCTCCTGTTCTTTTTTCTTCCTGCCTATCCTTCAGTGTAATGAGTGCTAACCTGCTTGGGTTGATCCCAGCCACATACTTTTATATTTTGCACAATTACATACATTGTTTCTACAAATGGGGAAACTGGGGTCTTAAAATAAAAACAGGTTTACATTTTATATATTTGTTCTTACTAAATATGTTATCAACACTTTTCTAGAGCAGTAGGTAACCAGCAGATGAATGTCATAATAGCTGCAAAATATTTTGTAGCAAAATATATCACAGCTGATTCAATCATTCCTCCACTGCCCAGGGTCCTCACAGTTCCGGAGTTTTGCCACTCTAAATGACCCTGGAGAAATCTTCTTATGTAGATCCTAAAGTACTGGTGTTTTATTTCCATAGAATAGATTCTACTTGGTATCTTAAGAAGTGTCATTTTAACTAAAGCAGAAGCTCTATACACAAATGCAGAATTGACAGTTATCTGGGTACATCATGCATAAAATAGATTCATTTAAATATTCATAGTTATTTCATGAAAAGGAGTTTTTCTTCCCCCATTCACATTATCTGGCAAATGGTCTTGATCACATTTTTGCTTTACAGATAGAGATATAACCATGTAAAAAATCTGGCTTGATTTTCCATTCCCAGCATAGAATGAAAGGGATGGGCTTTATAACAGTGAATGGTTGATGTAGCCATAAACATCTGATTAATTTCTCTCAATCTTTCAGAAAATGTATTAATTATTTTATGTTCCTTTTGCTTATTTTTCCCTTTCTGCACCACTCCTCATTCCCACCCCCAAACCTTAAGTGAAAAGAAGAACGTGAAACCACCCAGGCCTTTGATCACTGAAGATGGGCGAGCCCTGAATGTCAACGAGCCCAAGTATGTGAGGCCAGTTAGAGGCATGAGGAAGCCAAGAGTGGTGCCGGTCATTGTGATGGTTTCAATGGCAGGTTTGCTCTGCAGGGATCTATCTGGCAACTCTTTAGCTGGATGAGCCTAATAATAACGTCATTTTGTGCATATTTAAAAGCCAAACAGCTAGTGTATTTTCAAGTGCATAATTTTCTTGGCATTCAGAACATAATCTTGACATATGGAAATCTGAGTTATTTCTGTACCCCGTAAGACTTTGGACCATATACAATTTTATGCCTGAAAATTGCCATTGCATTATTGTTGTGTTTATGAAATTTTGAAAGTGCCACGAACAAGCTGGCTGAGTATACTGATGGGTCCTCTATATTCTTATGTTATTCTTGGCAACACACCTATGAAGCATTTGAGAGGTAAGGTAAGAAATTGATAGTAATGCCTTAATGAAATTAATGAGAAGAAAACTATTCAAACTGAAAAGCCTCAAATATAATAGTCTCTGATGTACCCTATCTGTCTGCCTTCAAGTTTAAAATTAGAAAGCAGGCCACAAAGGACTTTTGTAGTCAAAATATAGACTCAGAATCTCATGGACTAAATCTCACTGGCTTTATTGCTTTACTCAAAGGCTATTTACTTTCATCATTTCATTTGCCTTATTATTGGCATGATAAAGGCACCATCTTGAACCGTTCCAAGCATGGTTCATCTGTCTTTACAACAATGATGGGCAGTAGGCAGCATTTCTTTTTAGTAGACGGAAAATCTGAGCCTGAGAGAGGTGAAGTGAGTCTGTCAAGGTTACATAACTAACAGGTGCTGGACCTGACTTGCCCAGGATAGCCCAGCCCTCCTGCCCTCCATGGTCAAGCATATGCTCTCACCCCTGCACAAACATACCTCCCTTGTCCAGCAGGAAGGAACACAGCACAGACACTAGGCCAGGTACTGAGTGAACATATTTAACAATATGGTGGGAAGATCATCTCTCTTCAGCCCACAACAGGGCTCCTGGGAGACCTCCAGTTCTCCAAGTGTCCCTGACAAGACTCACTTACTCATCCCATCACACTGGCCACCTTACATGTTCCTGGAACCAATTCTACCCAGGGGGCTTCTATGGAGCACTCTTGACCCCCCACCTCCCTCCCACTCCCATCATACCTTGGCCCCCTCCCCCTCCCCTGCCAGGGCATCCTTCCTCATCCCCCACCATCTCTCCCCTTCCACTCTGCCCTCTGGAGCTTATGTTTTGTCAGCAAAACCCGCATCCTCAATCTTCTTTTTTTTCCTTTTGTTGACTGAAATGCAGGATTCCTCTTCCCTCTGTTCTTCCTCACCACACACCCTACAGGGGAGTTATTATATCCCATGGCCACTTTCACTCCATCCTCCCCTTTCCCTAAACCTTCACAACTCTGTTGAAGTGCAGGCCTTCTAGATCTGCTGCCCCCTGCCTCTTCTTACTGTGTCTGCTTATCCCTGATCAAGCCCCAGCCCTCCGCCCTTCATGGTCATCAAAGATCTTAGCGCTCAGACACGCATCTCTCTCTCTCCCTCCCCTCTCATCATCATTTTTGGCGACTTCATTATACATGTATGTGATACGCCCAAAGCCCTGGCCCCTCAGTTCCTCGGTCACCTCACTTCTGACCTTTTAGTTCACCTCAACTCAGCCTCACAATTCCATCTCTATTCTTATATTTGCCGCCATCAGTATCTCTTCCACTTCCAGGATCTTCACCTCCAGGGTCCCACGGAGTACCATCTCCTGTGCTCTCCAGAAACCCCCTCCATTGCCACAGTCATGTCTCCATAAGACCATGAATCCGGTTGCTATTTTTCTCTCCGTCCTCCACCCTCTCTTGCTCTCAGTTCTTGGCATACTTCTTTAGTTCTCTTGGCCTTCTTTTCTTCCATCATCCTCACCTCATAAAACCCTAAAGCTATTTAAATCTGGCAGCCATCCACTCATGGGCTTGCCCTCATGCATGGCCGGGGAACCATTCACCTCTACTCTCTGGTCTTCCTGTGAGCTTATGACCACAGATTTCAAATGGACTCTGGCAATCTTCCTGTGTTCCCCAGGGCAGTTCCTTCTCCCACTCTGCCACAGGCTACTCACACACCTCTTCTTCTCTCCTTACCTGTAGCATCACCTTCCACTTCCACAATCTTAATGAGGGCCTTTTTCTTACTTCATTGAGAAAACAAAAGCAATCCGAAGTTTTCTTTTCCTCCAGCACCATCTTACCAGTGGGTCTGACCTACACACACATGACTGCTCTCCTGCTATCATGGGTGACTTTTCCCTCAGAACTTAAGCCTCTCTGCTGGCATATGGCTCCCACCCCTCTTTTTATCAAGAACTTGGCTTCTCATTATCTCTGCTCTTCTGCATCATTTCTTCTCACTCTTCTGTCAGTCCCACCAGCATATAAACAAATTGTAATGACTTCTATCTTCAAAAAAATAAAATAAGGGGCCAGCAGGTGGTGTGGTGGTTAAGGCACTGAATGGTTTCAGTTCCAGAATCCACGGCTTGAAAATCACATCAGGCACCTGTGTGTGCTTGCTCGAAATCTCAAAAGGAGACTGGAGAAGAAGGGATTGCAGCATGGTCATCACCCTGGGGGGTTATTTCTTTCCCTCTCACTCTCTTTGTCTCTCTCTGGCAAATTCACATGCCTTATGTCCAAACCTAGAAAACAAATAAATAAATCTATGAAAATAGAATAAAAGAACAAGGGCTGGCCCCATAGCCCTGTGGTTAAGGGAGCTAGACCCCAGTGGCTTACCGTAATTCAAATCCTGAACTGGGCAGCTTGAAAGTTATACTGGGTATATGTACGGTTATGCCCAATATCCTAATAGGATAAAAAAAAGATGGTGGAGAAGGGGTTACAGTGTGCCCACACCCCACTGGGGGTTCTCTTTTTCTGTCTCTTTTTGCCTTTCTCTGTTGTCTCTCTGAGAAGTACCCATGGTCTTTGGCAATTAAACAAACAATCAAACCTCCTTCCCAAGTTTTCTTTTCTCTATTTGTCTCCATTCAATAGCCCTAATTCTTAATGGAGCTGTCTGTACTCAGACTCCAGTTTTTCAATTCACATTACTTCTTGGTTTTTTTTTTTTTTTTTTTTTTGAGAGGTTTTTCGCTATAGGGCATGTGCGTTCGCCAGACAGACAGAGAGAGACAGAGACAGAAAGCGAGAAATCACCCCCCAGGGGGCATGGTCACACCGCAGTCCCTTCTCCTCCATTCTCCTCTTGGGATCTTGGGCACGCACACACACGCACCCGGTGTGAGATTTAAGCCACCGGGTCCGGGACGCGAACCATGACCGACTATGTGGGAATCCAGTGACATAGCCATTACGCTAACTGCTGGTTCCCAATTCACATTACTTCTTGAAACCACTCTGCCTAATCCATCATCCTGAAACTTCCTTAGACACATTTCTGTATTCAGTGTCCAAATCTCAGTCCTGTGTTACTTGACCTATTGTTAGGATCAAACTGGCCCTTCCCTTCCTTCTTAAAGCAATTTTGTCCCTCTGCTTCTGATTTTCCTTCTACTGTACCAGCTGCTGATCATATAAGCTTTGCTGAATCCCTTTTGTTTTGCCTCCTCAGTCCTCTGAGCCAAACTTTCAGCCCTCTTCTTTTTCATTCCATCCTCAGGGATCTCATCAAATCCTCTGGCTGTAAACACTGTTGTTATATTGCTCGGAAACCAAATCCAACCTCTTCTCTCAGCTCAAGACGTGTGTATTCAGTCAGCTCCTCGGCATCACTGTGCAGATACACAACAGTTCTCCCAGACTTCTGGTTTCCATCCCTGCTGCTACACTCTACTATGACGTACTTGTCTCCCAGTGCTCCCCATCTCAGTAGCAAGCGCACACCCATTTGTTCAGACCAAAAGCCTTGGAGTTATCCTTGATTCTTCTCTCATTTTATCAGTGAGTCCACGAACTCTTCCTTCCATATTACAGGATCCCACTCGTTCTTACTAACTCTATCACCACCACCCTAGTTAGAGCCAGCCAGCACCCTCTCTTCCCTGGATAATGCAGTGGCTGTTAATAAGTCTCTGTGGTTTATCTAGTGACCTCTTACGATCTATTTTACTCTGGTGAATAAAGAAGAAAGAAGGGAGGAAAGGATACACATTTCCTTTCTTAAGGAAAATTCTTAGAAATTGCCAAACGGCACTAGCCCTCACATAATGTGAGAAGCTAGAGAATGTAGTCAGTATTCTACATGCCTAAGTGCCTAGTGAAGATCAGAGACCTTTCTATCTGGGAGCAGGTAGGAGAAAATGAGTGGAAATCTCTCCTACAGAAAACCTCTCTGAAATTACCATTCAATAAATATCTGAAGGAGAGGAATTCAAGTTGTCTGGCTAGAGAATTGGGACATAAAGCATCAGGGCAGAAGGGACAGCATGTAAAAAGGCTTTTGAGACTAGGTAAAGAGTCACGGGCCATTTGAGACACTGAAGAAGTCCTATACAGCTGAATTGTTGGGAGCAATGAGACGGTGCCGCCACTGCTGACAGCCACGTCTAGAGCCAACTTTGTGTTTTTCCAAACAGTTTAACTTAGGTCCTTTAACATTGATGGGTTACATATTTTATAGATTACTTTAAGAAGTGAAGTACTCAAAAGAAAATTGACCAAGTCATTCTGAATAATATCTTCACTATGTGAAGCCACACGTAGGACTCAACCTCAGGGTACAGTTGAAAGACTTAGAGCTTTGAAATCCTGCCCATCTGTGCTCCTATGACCTCTTCCTTAACTGAACCAACCTCTTTGAACCACAGTTTCTTCATCTAGAAAATGGAGGTAGTAGGGCATTAGCGGCATCACAGCCTTTCCTGGGGTGACAGAAAGGTCAACAATGAAAGGAGAAGAAAAAATATGGCGGGATGAAGGAAAGAAAATAAAACTTGTAAATTTAAGGACTGACACTGGATAAATGAGAAGCAAAGAAAACATTTAGTCCTCCATAAATAATTCCATCATGTTGGTGTGCTTCTAGCACATTCAAATGAAACAGAAAAGAAAACTTTAGCCACCAGATGTCTCCATCTCTGCAGCAAAGCTAATGTTATGTATGTAATTTACCTTCAGAGTCTCGCATTTAAACAAGGTCAACATAAATAGGTTGAAGGTTTCTGTTAACATTTTTAAATTACTATGGGTATGTTATTGTCCAGCTACCAAAATATGTTTGCCATCGGATATTATCATATAATTTTTATCAGGTTTACTTTTTATTATGTGATGGGGTTTACCTATGCAGTATCATAATGACATCATCTTTTTTTCCCTCTCAAATGTATTCTTCTTAGACTTGACTTTTCTTTGAAAGATGATGAAAAACGTAACCAGATCATCCTGGACCTGGCTGTCTATAGGTAAAAACATTTTAGTACTTATTTATTTAGAGGCACTTCTGTCTGTTTCCATTCTCAGTAGCAATTTTTTTTTTTGTCCCTTCTTTTTCATGATAGAGCTCATGTACATACTTGTGGGGGAAAGAGAGGTAGAGGAAGAGAGAATGAAAGAAGCACCCTCCACAGAGTCTGGTCATGCCACGATCCCCTTCCTCCTTTCAGCCTCTCAGATCTTGGGCACTCATCCTGTGCCTGACATGCGTCAGACAGATCAGGCTGGGAATCCGAATGGCAGGTGCCCGCGGGCTGCATCTTCTGAGCGGTGCGTCACGGCTGCGCCACGGCCCTCAGTAGCTGTCTTTTGAGTTCTAAAACATTTTGAAATGAAATATGACTCGCTAGGTAGCTAATCAGAGAAGTTTATTTTTTAAACACAGAGATGTTCCTATCATTTTTAAAAGCATGAAAATAAAAAGAAATGTAAATAAGCCCATGATCCATGGCTGTACACCACTGAATATCTAAGGTGCATTTAAATCAGTCTCAGTTTTGTTATTTACTGATGCTGATGCCACAAGGACCCCTCTGCTCTTTTTACTGCCACTTTACTTTTATAATCTTTTTCCCCCCAAACAATGACTTTTTTATGTATTATATTTTATTTATTGTTTTAGTAACCCTGGGAAGTAGGAGGGATTGTTCTGAAATTACCTAAGAGGGGATACATTTTTTTTTTCTTATTGGGCGCATGTGCTTGCCAGAAAGACAGAGAGAAACAGAGAGATAGAAAGCAAGAAATCACTCCCCAGGGGAGATGGCCACGCCGCAGTCTCTTCTCCTCCATTCTCCTCTCGGGACCTTGGGCATGCATGCACACGCGCCTGGCGTGAGTTTAAGCCAGCAGGTTCGGGACTCGAACCATGGTCGACTCCATGGGAGTCCAGCGACATAGCCATTACGCTAACTGCTGGTCCCGAGGGGATACATTGCTAAAGTGTGAGTTTTGTCAGTGTAAACAGTAACTGGAGGAGCCAAAACATAAACCCTCAAGACTGATTCCAAGTTTGTTTTCTTTATTGTAGTAAAATACACATAATTTAAAATGTACCATTTCAACCATTTTGAGGTATACAACTCAGTGGCATTTAATAAGTTCAGCATGTTGAACACTATTACCTCTGTCACGTTCTAGAATATTTTCATCACCCTAGAGGAAACCCCATACCCATTAAACCATCCCTCCTAATTTCTCCCTCTCTTTACCAACCACTAATCTGCTTTCTAGCTCTACAGATGTACCCATCCTGGATAATTTACAGGGATGGCATTATGCTCAGTATGGTCTTTGTGTCTCACTTCTTCTGTTTGCCATAATGTCTTCAAGGGATGTTCCATGTGGTAGCATGTGTCAGAATTTCCTTCCTGTTGGCCTAGTCTCCAGGGCTCAGTTGGCAGTCACAAGGTTGACCGGAAACATGCTAGGGAAGGCTCAAGTATCTAAAATCCTGAAAATCTAGAATGCTGGGGAAGGAATTTTAGCATGACAAGACCCTGTGAGGGTGTTTCTCCCACCACTGCCCACCACCCACCCCGCCTTCTCTTCCATGTGCATGTACATGCTATCATAAATACATAATTAAAAATAATTTCCTTTCCTTCTGTGGCCAAATAATATCCCATTGTGTGGATTTACCACATTTTGTTTATCCATTCACCAGCTGGTGGACATTGGTGTCATTTTCACCTTTTGGTTGGTGTGAGCTGGGGTGAGCCTTTGGTCCCCCTTGCTGCTCAGTCACCTGCCTTTAAAGAATTTCCAGCTCTTCTCCAACTGACTTCAAACCCTCTGGTCCTACAGCTTTCTGTGTTTTCTAGAAAAAGTTCACTGTTGCATCCTTTTAAGTCCTTTCCAATTTTAGGTCTTATTTCTAGGGTTTCATGAATGTCTAGCCCTTCCTCTTTCAGCTTTGTTGGCTTCATCCCCTTCAGTACTTACATAGAAATTTCCCTCCTCCCCATGCACATGAATTTAAGGGGTGGTGATATTTTTTCTAAGTAGTAATCTTTCTTTCTCATGAGTCTATCTAAATGAATTCCATTAAAATTCCTTGTTATCTTTATTTGCACAAAGATATATACATGCAAGTTAAACTCATTCACTCGTGTTACTTCCTGCCATTTTCCCATCATATCTTGAGAATACCTACTGTGTGACCACGGGGAGGCTAGCTGACATTCTACCTGAGACACTGCTTCCCTGTAGTTTCTGGCCCAGTGGAGGGGGCATAGGCAATAAATAAGCAGGCATGCTGTGAGTCATTATTGAGGGAGAAGAGCTCTGTAAAGGACGGGGACAGCACTCAGGGATGAGAATAGTGGCATGAGGGGACTGGTGGCTGGTGGTATAGATTGGGCCAGGGAAGACGGTGACATGAGTATTGAAAATTGAAGGATGAGAAATAGCCAAGTCTGCAAAGAACTGGCCAAAGATGGTTTCAGGCAGAGCAAGGCCTGGCAAACAGGGACAGGTGAACATGTTAGGAGACCCAAGCATGGAAAACAATATATGATCCATTAGAGTGGTAGATACACATGAAATTTTAGGAAATATTGTATCTTTTTTTTTTTTAATTTTTGCTAGGGAGCATGTATCCTTGCCAAAGGGAGAAAGAGACAGAGAAGGAGAGGAGAAGACATTCATGCTACAATCCCTTCTCCTCCATCTCTCCCTCCTTTCAGGATTTTTGATATGCATGAAAACATTCCTGGTGTGTTTTTCAAGCCTATGGGGTCTGCCATGTGGGATCCAATTGCCTTAAGCACCAGTCTACAAAGCTGCTCTTGCCCCATATTTGTATTAAATAACATATCAAATAGCATAAATAACATATGTTAATTCTCTATTAACACTAGCTAGGCACTGGGCACTAGGCATGTGCCTTCATAGCAATCCTCTGGGTGGGCTTTATTAGTGTTCTCCCTTTATTAGTGAGGAAACTGAGTCTTAGAAGTTAAGGACATGGTCTGAGGTAATAATGCAGAAAAGGAGGAGTCAATTCCTTGCAAGTCTGTGAGACTCCAAATTGTGCCTGTAACCCCAGTATTAGCTCATCTGCCTAAATGTTTGTGCTTTTTGAATTATCACTGCCTTTCCTAATGTTCACAATCAGTGCTTTAAAATGTATAAAAATAATTAGTTAACTGAGTTTCACAATTTAACATGTGATGTGAAATTCAAGGCTTTGACTTGTTCATGAGTCAAGGAGAATAAGTGGCACCGGATCCTGGGGTCGCTGCCATAAATGGAAGGCTTTGCTTGTTCA